CCCATTTCCTAGAAGTTAAAAGGATATTCCCTAGGATAGTCCCCATTTCCTAGAAGTTAAAAGGATATTTCCTAGGATAGTCCCCATTTCCTAGACGATAAAAGGATATTTCCTAGGATATTTCCTATTTCCTCGAAGTTAAAAGGATATTCCCCATTTCCTAGAAGTCAAAAGAATATTTCCTAGGATATTTCCTATTTCCTCAAAGTTAAAAGGATATTCCTTAGGATATTCCCCATTTCCTAGAAGTTAAAAGGATATTCCCCATTTCCTCGAAGAGGAAAGGACATTTCCCATTTCCTAGATGTTAAAAGGATATTCCCTAGGATATTTCCTATTTCCTAGGATATTTCCTACTTCCTAGAAGTTAAAAGGATATTTCCTAGGATATTTCCTATTTCCTAGGATATTTCCTATTTCCTAGAAGTTAAAAGGATATTTCCTAGGATATTTCCTATTTCCTAGGATATTTCCCATTTCCTAGATGTTAAAAGGATATTCCCTAGGATATTTCCTATTTCCTAGAAGTTAAATGGATATTTCCTATTTCCTCAAAGTTAAAAGGATATTCCCTAGGATATTCCCCATTACCTAGAAGCACGGGTTGGAGGAGAGACTTTTCCACCACACGGAGCCTCCCCTGACCCAGGGTGATCTCCAGCAAAGCTGCCAAGACGTTTTGTTTCTTTTTGTTGTGGTGAGATCTGCTGGGAGAAAAGAATTTGTAATATTTTCCACCCAGAGATGTCTAAAAATTAAGCAAAACTCTCAAATTTATAGCACTTTCTGCCCATTTTCAAGCTTGTGGAAGGCCAGAGGCAGCTCATAAAATAAGGTAGTTTCATAACATAAACCCAAACCATAAAATTATATATTTTTTGACAGATTTATGAATTATTGTGGGGGTTTTTCTGATTTTTTTCCTCTCTTTATTGCCATGGGAGCCCTTCCTGGGGGGTTTGGGTGCCACAAACTCACCGGCCTGGGGATGCAGCCTCCCCTCAGCAGGATTTTCTCTCACCAATAAAAAGAAAAAAATCCTGATGTAAAAAAACACAACCTAAAGAAATTCATCCTGGTCTTGGCGGTGTTTTATTTTCACCCAATTTTGGATGTTTTTGACGGGGGGAAGCAAGCACAGGGAAGTTTTTGCCTCAAACACCAAATAACGACTTCACAGGGGATGGAAATGCAGAGCCTGCCACAGCCACACCTGGGGGGGCTTTGCAAATAAACTGGAATAGAAATGAGTACATGAAACAAATGAATGAATGAATAGAGAAATAGAAGAAATAAATAATAAATAGATTAATATACTGTAATGTAATATAATGTAATGTAATTATAATATAATATAATGTAATGTAATGTAATGTAATATAATGTAATATAATGTAATATAATGTAATATAATATAATATAATATAATATAATATAATATAATATAGAAATAAATAGATACCTAGATATATAAATAAGAAACAAATAAGTAAATAGGAACAAAAAACCAAACAAATAAAAATTGGTGATGTTAGAGTACCAAAACCCCCCAAACTCCCCCAAACCCCACTGGCTCCCTTGCCCAGCTCCCACCTCCACAGATTTTCCAGGAGCAGCTCTGCACACACCCCAAATTAAAGTTTGTGATTAAGTCCTGCTTCTGCCTGAAGGGAAACTATCTCTTTATTTGGTGTTTTTTTGATGTAAATGCTGATTTTTTTTAAATTCCTTCTCTTTCTTTACCATGGCTGGGGGTGGCTGCAGGCAGCAGATAGAACTGGGATTGTGGTGTGGAGTTGGTTAAAAGTGTGTTAATATTACAGGGTGGAAAAGTCAGAGTTTGGGGTTTTAGAAATTAGCAATAAATATGGAGCAAAATAGAAGTTTTAGGGTGAAGGCTGCTCCTTCTTCACCTTCTCCATGGGTTTGGCTGGTGTTTTGTAACTGGACAGAAAAGTCCTCTTCAAGGGATTAGTTATTGGGTTAAAAGTGAAAATAATGCAATTATCATTTCTTAATGAGATAACTTAGCCTTAAACGAAATTATAACAAGGGACAGTTAATAATTTTGTACTTTGCTAATAAAAACCTGCAGAATTCGCTGCTGTGAGACTGTAACATTGGTAAGGAATAACAAACTCCTGAGTCTGAACACGAAATGTCGTCTCAAGTGCCTTCGATGCCCCTCTGGATTTTGTTTTTCCTTGTACACAACTGAAAAGTGTAAAAAGAATTAAAGTCAGGTCTCCAGCAGCCCTGCTCCGGCTGATGCTGCTGAGCCTCACATCCCAAATTTTACCGTGTGCCAGGATAAAAAAACCACAAGAGGAAGCTCTTGGCTTCTCACGTCCACCTTCACTCTTCAAATTGCCTCAACCTTGATTTTTCCTGGATAAAATAAAGAAGAACTCAGGGCAGCACCCAGGAGCCAGCACCTCGGGAAAGGGATTTGTGACTCCACGCTCGCAACGCGGCGAGTCCGGGAGCATCATTCAAACCGCGGCTGGGTTTCCTTCGGCGCTGCAAGCCCCGGGCGGCACGGCGGGGCACGGCGGGGCACGGCGGGGCACGGTACCGGCGGGGGCACGGCGGGGCACGGCGGGGCTCGGTACCGGCGGGGGCACGGCGGGGCTCGGCGGGGCTCGGTACCGGCGGGGCACGGCGGGGCTCGGTACCGGCGGGGCACGGCGGGGCTCGGTACCGGCGGGGCTCGGTACCGGCGGGGCACGGTACCGGCGGGTGCGGAGCCCCAAGAGCCGAGCTCCCCGCGGAGCCGAGCGCGCCCCGAGCGCTTTTGGCCGCGCGGAGCCGCCGTACGGGCGGAAGTGCCGGAGAGCCGCCATGGAGGCGACGCTGGAGCAGCACCTGGAGG